TATAGGTTAAAAATTCTCTTTGTGGAAATCAAACTTGGTGTTTGTCTTGTGAGAAAAATCCGAAGCTAGCTGGTTTAGCTCTTTTGTGACTGCTGATGGTCCACAGTAAAACACCCCTAAAATTTGAGAAGAGACACAAAGAAGTGGTAAGCAACTGTTTGACCTAGATGTAACATCATCATGGAAAGCAACTACAACTTTGTTCCGTAAAGCAATTATAAGAAACATTTCAATATATATTTATTGAAAAAGTATAATACAGTATATATTATATTGAATTGCACTATATTAACTATTAGATGGAGATTGAGCCTTTTGATATTAGAGTTCTTCTCCCAATTAATGGTCTCTATTTTACAATTTAGTATAGTCTAAATTGTAAAACAAAGTTTTCTAAAGTTATGTATATATTTTAAAGTATTTCAATATTTTGCTTGGAGAGAAAGATGAGGATCACATATAGTTAGGGGGATTGTCACTTACATAAAAAAGCATGCGAAGATTTTCCAAAGACAAAATTATTGAGTAGCTAAAAGCTAGTTAATTAATGGTTATCGTTATCATATCTTTAGCAAAAGCACCCCCACTAAGAGTATGTGCTCTATCTTTCCTTTTTTCTGAGAAGAAAGGAATATGCCAGGAAAGCTTTCTAACGATGTGAAAATTTTTCGCTTCTCCACCACATTTTGGAATTAATGGATCTAATCAAATGACTGGGTCAATAATTTAATTAAAACAAATTAAGACTGTCTGATACCTAACAGATTCCAAAGTAGTTTAGTAGGCTTACCAACTCGGCTACTGGGGTGCTTGATTGCAATGTTCTTGTACACAGTGCGCCAATCAGGCTTGGCGAAGTGAGATTTCACCCTTGTACCGGAGACGATGTCCACGCCACATTTGGCGTGGTTGAGGGACTGAAGCATGGCAATGAGGGCAGACCTGGCGTCACCTTCTTCGTAAACACTTGTACAGTAGTTATGCAGCTCAATGACGTGATTGTGGTCCTGCTCAGCCACATCATCCATGACCCCTTTGAACCAATCAAATGAGTCTTGTTCCCTCGTCACCCAGTAAAAGTACACCCTCCTAGTCTTGAAACTATCTCTCCTTTTAGGAGGATGACTAACCGATCTATTTCCATTTTCTAAAGCCAAGTTTTCTTCTTCCTCCTCCATGGCCCTGACGTTGTTCACTATCTCCTTCAAAATGCTGATCATCGGGGTTGCTCCAATTCCCAACCCCACCAGCAAAACAACCTCATATTTCTTGTAGTCCTGTGCTGGTGCACCGTATGGACCGTCAATCAGAACTCTTGGGAAACTGTCCATTTTCATTAAACAATCAAGTTAACTAATTTTCCTCTTAAAGAAAAAATAGACAAATGATTGTTAAGGAATTAGGAATCAGCATTCAGCAACCTCATAATACAAGAAAATGACAAGCAATTCAGTTTCATAAATTTTCTGTCCACGAGCATCACGTTTACATGATTGAAATCTTCTTGTTATGCGTCCCTATCAAAGAAGAAACAAACTATTTTCAAACTAACTGCCCCTTTGTATGTTTCTCAGCCGCCTATGTTTACTACCTTGCCTTACATGCCAACCTAATTACTGTTTCTAGTCTTCGGAATGTCAGTCCTATTATTTTTTGTCTCGGTGATTATTTGATCTAGATATTGTGTTTTTATTTTTAGGTCTATCTAGGGGTAAGCTAAGCAATAGCAGATAATTCATCTATTCTCTACATTTCACTTTCTTTTTTTCAGATTTGAACCTAAGACTTTCAATTTAAAACCTTTTAAATGTAAACTGTACAAAGATATTTAATTAGGTTCAAAATAGTTCTTTTAATGAGTTAGCAAAGAATATGGAACTCCCATCTCTAGAAGCAGTTAAGTTCTACGGTTACAAATTTTTAAGTGAATGTTAATAGATTTCCAATCTTAGCAACTATCTTGCATGCTTTCGTGCTTGCAAAGTCATCAAAGCAGGTACCTAATTCTACTTGAGTTGGTAGGATTTGCTTTGGTAAGCCATGTGAGGAGTTGTTTCCCATTAACTTTCAGTTTGTATTTGCTGAAGCTAATTAAGGTAATGCTTCTCATATATGCAGCATGACTTTCCCCATTTAAGGTACTTACTCTGCCGTGTTCTTTCCTTGCGTGCAGTCTGCTTGCAAGAGTCCACTCCTGTCATTATCAGCTGGATGACATACCTGCAAATTTACACAAATTGTGCATAAATCTCGTCGTTCTTTCCATTCTCCCCGTTTAAAACTAACGTTTTCTAGGCTGTTAGGAATCAAACCTTCGAAAATACAGTTCGGAGATGTCGTGTCCAGTCACCGACGATCCTAATGTGGACACTAAGGTAATCATCTCCGGGAGCTGAGGTGATAGAAAATGGATGCCTGTGTGTTGAGAGTTGAAACCAAAAACCAAACAAAAAATAAGCATTAATGAGGAATAAGGATTAGGATTATAGAATGAAATTCAACGGTAAAGCGGATCGAGTTAATTTAATTAAGTAGTTGATGATCACCATTCAAATGGAGAAACCGCAGCACAATTGACAAACATATACTGTCCACTTTCGTATCTGAACCCATGCGGCCTTGACATGTGAAGTACCACGACATTTCCTGGATGAATAACCACCTGCATTGTGTCAAGAAGATTAATATAATCATTTATGAGATCAATTTATTTAATTCACATAAATATTAATATTAGAAATCTTGATTACCTTCAATATTGAAACCGCCTCAGTTCTAGATCTCAGAGCCCGAATAAGTCTTTCGCAAGCATAAAGGGTTACAGGAACAGCTAAGTACATCCAGGTCTGCAAACAAGAAGAAATTAAACTAGTAAAATAGTTAATTTGATTCTTTAATGGGTTATTCTAATCTGTGTCCTTAGAGTATTGGTTAAACAAACCCTTTTTTAATTAATGTTAATTTGAATGTCCAGCGCATGAGCATTGGTGTTTTTGGAGACTATGGAGAGATTGATTACCGTTTTCTTGTACCATTCCTTGATCAGGTAGATGCAGATGCCATGGACAATTAGGAGAGCGTAGACTATGACAAAGAAGTGGTGGCAGTACCAGAAGGCATTGAAGCCGGTAAGCTTCTTCAAGGGTTTGGGTAGCTTGAGCTTTTTACGGCGGAAACAAGGCATCGCTAAAGTGAAAGCTATAGCCATTAATACTACCATTAAAATCCCCGTCACTCCTTCCACTGACTTCACAAAATGCCAATAGCTCTTAGGTTGCTTCCCAAAGTATGGCTCCATTAGTGCATAGCTACTTCCAGCATGAATCAGTCGCGGAAAATCACACGCTAGATGACAAATTGCATGTATCCCAACGCCAATTGTAATTGCAGCAGCAATCATCTAAGAAACAAAAAAAAAAAACTATAAATTTCAAGTTTAAAGTTGTAACTAACGTTTATAAACTACAAAAGTAAAACAATACTTTTACCGATGGATGTCTTATTCTGTACTAATAACTTTCAACTTTACTGACGAAAACATATATCTTGTCGGTGAAAATTGTAAAATATCATTCTTTTAGTGTATAGACGACAGACCTGGTGGAAGTTGATAGAGTCATCAAAGGGAACCGCAACGCCTAATTGGGTCTTGTTCCTGAGCCAAGTGATGGTATTTCTACAGACCGGCAAAAGAATCAAAGCCATGTTAAGTTTAAGTGTCTCAGCTGCACCCTTAGCCATGCACACACAATGACCCATCACCACAAACGCTGCTCGTCGACTATACTGCACATACTTATAAGCAAAAAGGCCACACATAACTGCAATCCACAGAGCCATCACCCAAACTCTCTGCCAATTATCCAACAAAAAGTATTTGGTGCATCTATACCATCTCCTCACTGGGGTATCCTGCGTCGGCTTAAGCTTTTGGCTTAGCATTTTGCTCAACTCACGGCTCTCCCCTCTCACAGATTGGCACGGTGCTTGAAGCAGAAGCATTTCCAGATTTTCTATCTGTTTTTTTTTTTTTTTTTTTTTTAAATTTAAACACTTAGTAATCAACTACTAATGATTTAATTTTAAAAATAAGACAAAGTTTTTATGAATTCATACCATGATATGTCCCATATGGTCAGGGTCTAATTCTTCCATGATCAAGGCAGCATATTCCTCAGCTTGTTTTTGGATATTTGACAACTTGTTTGTAGAAGCACTTAAGCTGATAATCTGTATGAGAATATACAGTACTGTCAGCTTTTTACTTCAGAAAAGAATTCCAAAAATGCAAAATCATATGAAACACTCATAATTCAAAGATTAATTCTACCTCTTTAACTTCTTCCGCAGTGATCCTTCCATCTGCATCTTTATCCACCCTGCATTTTTTTCTTGAGTTAAACTAAACTCTAAATTCAATATAAAAAAAAAAATGAAGGGGAAGAAGAACAAGAACATTACAAGTCAAAGAAAATTTGAAGCCTGGCATCAAAACTCTGATTCGACATCTGATCCCAAAACTCTTTCAGTTCTTCTTTGCAAATTGAATCTCCTTGAATGTTTCTTCTATGGGCAAGCGCATCAAATAGTCGTCCCGCGAATTCCATTGACTCTTGCCTCATTCCTGCCATTTCCATTAACATTATAACAAACCAGAGTCAGTCTTGCTGATGGTTCTAGAAAGTGTTATAGGATGTGAATTGCGTATATGTACCTATGCATTCTCCAAAGCGTGAGCGGGGCAGGGCACCACCGCCACTAGAAGCGGTTATTTCATCAAACCGCTTCTCCACGGTGGTCCATCCTGAACCAGTGTCAGTCTTACTGATAAACTTGAGGCCCTTCAGACCGTGAGCAGCGGCGGACTTGGTCCTGTCTAAGCGACCGGGTGGAGGGTTCCTGGAAAACGACGCCAACCTCATCAGTTCTTGACCCACCTGCCTGATCTTCTCGGACGCACTCCGTACCCTTGAAGACCCAAAAGAAGATTTCTTCTCCAGGCGTTCTGCGATGTGCGTTAGCTCAGGTTTATCTCTCTGGCTATCATCACTGGTGGCTGTAGCGGCGGCCTTGACACTCTGCACTAAAACAGAGTCGTTGCAGACGTCGAGGGTGATCTCAACGTATGCCTCTTGTTTCTCCGGTAAACTGAGCCCGGCGCTTTTGTTTCCCTTTCTCTTGTTTAGAGATCCGCTCAGGGGACCGCTGTAGGCTACCGAGTCGTCGCCGTCATAGAGCTCTGTATCAGAGTAAGAATGATGGTGATGATACTTATTCAAATCCTCTGCACTACTCATTTTCTCCATCTGAGTGTGCAGTGATTCTCCAAGACAAAAGACTAAAAACCAAAGTAAAGAGAAAAAGAGTACTGAGTTCTCTGTTTTTCTTTGTTTGGTTTCCGAGAAACTCCTAACTAACTTAAATGTATTAACGGGTATATATAAAGTTCATTGATCTTTGTTTCAAGGTTAAAGATGATAATTTCAAGGTTAAAGAAGATAATATAATTAGCTTGAACAATGATTAACGATAATTGCTGCTAGATGGCAATGACAATGAGTTCGACCTTCTTGTTACTGTCCGAAAGGGACTTTAATAACATTAACCGCACGAAGAATGTGTTTTTTTTTTTTTTTTAATTCATTTACGTAAAAGATGCTTGAATCAGTTTTTATGTATTTAAGATTAATTATTTTTGAGTAATTTGAAAGACACA